TTAAATTTGTGGTTAAGTCTGTCTGGGTAAAGTGTTTTGAGGCACAAAATCCATTTGACTTCATGTTCCTCTAGTATTTTCTAAGGTTATCTTTTCTGTCTATTTCTATTTTTTCAATTATAGTGAATTTTTCTAGTTTTTCTAGGCGGAAATGCTGTTCTACAGGTAATGATCTTTTTGTGGGGAGCTGACTCGATCTAATTCCAACAATTCTGTTGTGAAAGGGCCATTCAGATTTTCCCACATATTGTGAATGAATTGGTATGTCTAATGTGGTTACAACATAAGCTCCTTTTGTTTTTACATGGTTGGGAAAATCCTGTTATTTTATTCTTGGTCTATTATGGGTTACCTTATCATCTGGAATTTGATTATTACCCATAATTTCTTTAAGGTTCTTAGGTCTACGATATGTTAGAAGGCTGGGTTCCTCAAACAAAATTTTTAGGTCTGGTTTGAGATGTATTTTCCCAATGACTTTTGATTATCTGACTTAGTAGAGGCAGAGTGGGGTTGAAAGTGGTTACTAGAGGGATGCGTCTGGATTTATTTTTAATTTTATACATTAGGGTGTCTTCTCTAGATGTGGAAATTGCTTTATTTATTTGTTCCCTGATTAAGTGTTGCTTATAGCCACATTTTGCAAATTGATACTCAAGATTTTTAGTGTGTTTACTTACATTCAGAAGGACAATTCTGATAATGAAAAACTAAGTGCTTGTGTATATGGAAGGTTCTCCTTGAGGTGTTTTGGGCGGGAAGACTTAAAGTGTAGATAGTTGTGGGTGTCGGTGATTTTAGTGTGTAGTGTCATTTGTAGTTTTCTGTTTTTATTGATATAGATGCGTGTGTCTTAAAATGTTACCGATCTTGTTGATTTTTTGTGGTTGAACTTAATGGAGTCATGTACCGTGTTTAGGGTCATAAGGAATTCAGTGAGTTTCTCCTCACTGCCCATGTGCATGAAGAAGATATCAATATATCTTGCATAGAATATGCAGTTGTTACCAATGAAGGGATAAATATGGGTCTCCTCAAATTACCCATGAAGATTGTGGCATATGATGGAGCTGCAATGGTGCTGATGGTACATCCTCTTACTTGCAAGTAGTGTTTTCTATTGAAATCAAAAGTATTCAATGTAAGAATATGTTCCATAAGTTTTATGATTACTTCTGTGGGAGTGGGGGGTATTGTTTTGTTATTTTAAAGTGCTATTTTAAAGGTGGTTAGTCCTTTGATGTGTTTGAATAAAGTGATCTTACATCCATGGTTACTAGAGCTGAATTTTCTGGCAGTTTGTATATGATTAATTCTGTTTAGTAGGTCTGTTGTGTCTCTGATGTAGGATTTTACTTCCTTAGCCAGGGTCTGTATATAGTGGTCTGTGTGTGTATATATATATATATATATATATATATATATATATATATATATTGTGTGTATTTAGGCAGCATCTTTTCATTCATGCACATTTCATTAAATAATATAGACAAGTGTTGTCTATTTATTTTATGTAAAATTTTTTTGTAACGTCTGATAAGTTTAATAACGTTATCGTTGAACGAAGAAAGAAATTCACAATATTGATCCATATTTTTTTAATACAATATATAGGAGAGATATTCATTGAATATAGCAATAAAAACTTTTAGATTTTCCTTGTCTAAGTTTTTCTTATGTTCTTAGTTTACCTTTTGGGGTTAAAATTGTAAGGACATTAGAAAAAAGAAAGGTTGCTGCCCAAATATATATATATATATATATATATATATATATATATATATATATAAGAACAGTTATTATAGGTACCTCCACGAAATCGCTAAAAAAAGAGCATAGCTTGATGAAAAAGACGCCAACCTTGCCGAAAACAAAATTTTATTGTCTAAATGCTTATGATATTATTAAGAGGAAAGACCAAAGTTTTTTTAATTATTTTTAAAAAATTTCCTTCTTTTAGAACATTCTAAATTTTGATTAAAAAAACTTTTTTCTATTTGTATCAGCGGAACTAGTAAATAACATAGACAATTTTTAGCACGTTTTTGGTATGACACACATTAATTTGAAAAAATCGTGCAAAAAATAGAAATAATTATCGGATGTTAATGAAACTTTCAGGAACTATTCACAGATGATTGAAATTATTATAAATATGTTTTTTATGAAAGTCATGGTAGAAATATTTTTTAAAAATATTTATTACCCCCATAACTAATTTTATGAAAACACTAGAAATTGATCGCATTGGTTCTAGTGATGACAATAATTAAAAAGCACAGGGCTTTGAGGAATGCAAATCATGTTTTTTTTGTTTTTAATTGGATACGCAGTACCTGAAAATCAGCTCTGAATTGTAACATACAAAACTCAATAAAACAAAGACATTATTTAATTTCAAATGCTTTTATTTGCTTTTAGTTGTTTTTATGAATATGGACAATATTTTCTGAAAGCAAAAAAATTTTTTCGATGAAAAATGAATTTTTAATACAATTTATTTGTTATTTCATTAATTATAATAGATTTTACATTTAAGTTGTTAAAATATTATAAAATTAGTTAAAAGCCGCATCGGCTTCCATAAGTGTCCTTATGAGATAGATCTTTTTTTAGCGCGTTGTAAATTGTATCATTTTGACTAATCAGAAGATCCACAGTAATTAAGAAATGTAATTTTGTGCTTATAATTGAGCTGTAATTATAAAATACGGAAGACCAACCAGAATATAATTAAGTTGCGTTATTTGAGTTAAGCATTGTTCTCCGCTGTTAAGGCCTTTACTTTTGCGAAGCACGTGTGGAGAAGTTAATTTGATTTTTCAATTTCAACTGAGAAGGGTACCTACAAGTATCAGTATCATCTTATGAAATTTATATGATCTTATTTTTATATTAATCTCAGTTATGACATTTTTCCATAAATGAAATATCAAAATTAATAATAAAATGAATGCAAATAACAGTAGAATGTAATAAATGTACATAAAATTATAGTATTTTATGTACAATTCTGATAAAATTTCATAAGAAAGGTACCTATAAATTAATTAGATACCTTTCTTAAAAAATATGAAATTTAATGTCACTCTTAACAGTTTTATTTTAATTTCTTTACAATATATTTCCCATAAAGCATCATAAACGTAAAGGTGAAAGCTAAGTACAAAAAAAAAAAAAAAAGACCGCTGAAAGTTTTCGTTAAAAATAACGGGGTAAATAATTTGTTCACGTAAATGTAATTTATTTCACTTTTCTCCTTCTGTAGAACAAATTAGCCTCATGGAATTCGTAAATATATCATTCATCACATGTCAAGAGACGCGAAAGTTTATGACCTGCTTTGTTTTATTTTCAAATTACATCTTTTGGCACAAAAGCTAAGTAAAGTTTGGTTCAAAATATTTTAAATAAACATTATAATTTCTGATTTTCTTAAAATAAGTTTTGAAAAAATGATAATTGATATTTAAAAAATTTCAAAGTCAGATTTCATTTTTTTTTAAAATGGAAAAAATGGTCAATTTTGCTGACTCAAAAAAAAACTAGATTTTTAACGAAAATTTCGGACGTGCTAGGAACGATTAAAAAATGGTAAAAAATACCCCAAAAATACTTTGACCTTTCCTCTTAATGAATAACAAACATTTAGACGATAAAATTTTGTTTTCGTCAAGTTTGGCGTCTTTTTCATCATGCTATGTTCTTTTTTTAGCGATCTCGTGGAGGTACCTAAGTTATTATAAAGATTTTCTCAACAGCTATTAATAGGGTTACCTTATCAAAATACCCATATCTGTCTGTTAATCTCTCTTTCTATATGTATGTGGTAGGGGGAGAGTGTCAGGGTTAAAACTGAAAAAAAAAAAAAAGCCTAGAAACTTTATATTGATGAAAAAAAGCATTGAGTTCTATGCCTCAACTTGACAACTGACCTTCTCTTTTAAGGTAACATTATCTGCCGGACCAAAAATGCAGCAAATTCCACACATTGCTAATTTCAAAACACCATCTGAAATCATATAAATTAAAAAAAAAAAATTACCTTCAATGAAGAAATCAAATTCTTAAGTCATACATAATGAAAATGGTTAATTTCTTGACATTGAATTATAGTGGAGTGAAAAAGTTACAAGATCAGGATTTTATTTTTATTGTTAAAACAAAATATTAATTATTAGAAATTATATAAGTACTAATTTCTTAGATTCAAGTAAATGCTGAATAATATGAACATTTTAAATTAGAAACAATGTTTTTGATTGCTTAATTACATAAGAACGAATATTCAATAATGCAATCCCTAGACTTGATTAGACTAATTTTGCAAAAGAGTTTACAAAAGGACATTTTAAAACATAATTTTTTCCTGACTAATCAAATTCTTAAAGCTTATTTTGTTTGAGCTTACAGTTTGATACATAGTTTTAAATTATAATAATTTTAGGAGTTTATTTTTAAATACAGTAGAATATTGATTATCCAATTTTTGGATTATCTGAACATAATTTCAAGGTTATATGAATATTTCATTTTACAAACTTTTCCCAAGTTACAAGTGATGGAGTTTATTGGTTTATTACTGTCTCAATATCTATAAAGAAAAAGTGGTTTGTTGACTTGATGATAGTTGGACACTTTAAACAAACTTTGAAATAATTTTAATATATAAAGTTAAAATGAAAGGTTTTAAAAGCATTGCAAAATTTGTAGCGAAATCTTCAATAAATCTATGACTTGTTACGTGTTTATTACTACACCCATGTCTGTGAAGAGAATGCATTTAGTCAACTTTATCCCAGCCATTTTAAACAGTACTGAACTAATTTTAACACATAAAAATGACACGCTGAAAGATATAAAAATCTTGGAAAAATATGTAATAAGCGTTTTCATTCATTTTATTTTTACAAATTTACCCCAAGAATGTATCTGTTCCAAGTGATGGAACATAACTGCTTGATCAAAAAAAAAAAAAATGATGATTTAAAATCTCCAAGGACTTGTCCTTATAACTAATATAAACATTAAGTGCTACAAAAAGACATTCTCAAAATTTCATAAAATTAAATAAAATAATTTCATTCATGTGTGAATAAATCCTGAAAGTTTCACTAAAATCAAACAATTATCTGATTTATGCAAGAATTTCTAAATCAATGTGTATTTTTTGCCATAAAACAAGGCTCAAATTTCTCATACAAAATTATGGTCCTTTTATGCCAGAAAAATAAGATTTTAACCAAAATTTTGAAGGTCCTAAAAAGGATTAAAAAAATTAATTATTACATTGAAAAATTCTTTGGTCCTTACACTTAATAATAAAAATTGTCAAAATCTTTGTGTTATTAAAACATAAAAATAGTCAATGTAATCTGTTTCTACTCTAGTAGAAACAGATTACATTGACTATCTTTACAATTCTAGTGAAGTCAATATTGACAAGACTACAAGCAGTAGTAGAAGATAAGGACAGTCATATCAAATACTGGTTTTAAATAAACATTTTTTTTCTTCCATAGGTGTGTACAAATTTTTGCACAATGACATTCATTTTGTCAACAGAATTTCAATGTTGGAGAGTTTGGTTTACTATTACCACACTAAGGATTATGGATAGATTTGAGTTTTATTGTGGAAATTAAAAATTAGTTAGCCCTTCGCATTTAAGCAGAGTTCGCAGTTTTTCTTTAAACAAAATCAGTGATCTGTTTGTTTTTCTCACACACTCACTCAATTTTAAATCACAACCTTTTCTAAAAGATATACCCGAGACATTTCAGTGTTCACAAAGAAAATATATATTAAGTGATAATTCTATTTCAATAACAGATTTATCATCTTGCAAGCTCGCATACCAAACTCACAACATTTGTTAAATTCATTCATTCTCGAATTTATTATTTTAAATTCTATTTCTTAATATGTGATGTAATTGTAACGAATATAAAAAAGAACCTCTCTGCGAAACCATAACAATTAAAGGTAGACAACTCTGTTTGTTTTATAAAAATATTCTTGCGAGTGAAATTTACTGTTTAAGAACAGTAGTTTACAATTTAAAAACACACACACAAAAAGAAAACAAATCAAAACATCCAATTATTGACTGAAATGTTCCAAACCAAAAGACAGTTTCATATAATATTCACTGTCACCGAAATTATTAATGTCAATACCTTTTAAAAAGTAGTGAAACTTTCCTGAGAACAAACAAAAGAAAAACATAAAAACTAAAAAGTCCCAAAAGATACAATAATCACTCTGAATTTTATTTCAGCAACAACAAATGTAAATTTCTGTATATAAATTCAAATAACTCTTTCTTTCTCATACAAGAGTCGTTTTGTCACGTATTGAGAATGTTATTATTGACTTTGTGCCAGGCTAACAACGAAATTTAAATGTTTGTAGAGTTTTCTTCACGCAGAATAATCAGCTTATTAACCAACAAAAATAACAAAAAGCCTTCTGATAATATTTTTTTTTAAATCAATATAACTCTGCAACAACACCATGCAGCTAAAAAAAAGAAGGTGTTGAGGTCCTCTTGTAAAGCAACAATGATCAAAGTTATGAATGCTGCCATCTGCAAAAAGCTTCAAGCAATCATTTTTTAACATAAATGAGGGACAAAATAGGTCTAAAAATATGTGGACCCTTGAGACACCATTGATAATCACAGCCTATGACGAAACGGGAAAACACTATACAACTCTGTTTTCTCGATGAATGGAAAGACTTGGAAAAAAAACCGAAAACGACTGATTTCCTAAACATAAAAAAACAATATCCTGAGTTTGATAATCTTCAGTTTAGGAACAAACTTACTTTTACACAGAAATTGCGATTATCAGCGACATTTCGTCTGCAAGTTTTATGTTAAAAAAATAATTGATGACAAGAATATGCACACAACAAAAAAGTTTAAATGAAATGTATTCATACTTGTTGGTTTCAGTGAATGCGTATTAGTTGAGTATTTTTTGGAAATTAGTCGACTAATCCACAGTTTTTGGTAATTGATTTGTTTTTCATCATTGTATTTGAGACGAAAGAAAGACCAGAACGAAAATCATTAGTTACTTTTTTGGTTGATTTTTAAGAAAAAAAAATCCTTACTTAACTCAAAGTTTATCAACTTAAACATTTGTGTTGCAGTTACACAGTAAACTTGTTGGTCAATTTATTAACAGATAGAGAAGATAATGAATTGTATGGTGAATAAATAATAACCCAAAGTTTATTAAGTGATGGAATGTTGAATAAACAATATAAAATGGATATTCAAAGAAAAACAATGACTTAAATAATAAAAGATGGAGTTATTTCTTTTCCTTACCGAACTTGTGTTCCGTATTGGAAGAGCGCACATGGGAACTAACACCGAAGCGGTGTTCAACGTAAAGTGTCCCTCCTTTACATTTGTACAACCTGTAACAAACGGAAGATTTGATTAACCTCTAGTTTTCCAAATGCGAGTTTACCAGAACATACGCAAGTCATTGATCTAGAACCACTTTTGCTGCTTTAATAAGCAGAGAAATCGTTATAATAAAATATATTTGAAGAATTGAATATTTTTCTTTATAGAACAATGAATACTGAACTTTTAATTGGTATTATTTAAAACAAAATTAATTGTACATCGATGTCAATGCCCAAGAATAAATAAGTTTTATACCAACCTTTTGATCAAGATGTAAAAAAAGAAGCGAATATCCAATTTCAGGAGCCAAAAATGGGATAGTTGTGTGCCAACAATCCCATATTTTTGGGTTAAATAAAATCATTTTTTTTAATTACAAAAGTAAAAATTCAAGAGACAAAACTAGTAATGCTCAGAGTTAAATTAACTTTATTATTTAAAATCAATTCTAAACAGTAAAAATAATGCAATTTAAAGCAGAAGAGTTTTTTTTTTTATTGTAAAGAGTTTCATTTTAAATCAGGTCTATGTCCAAAACACAAAAATAAGAGTTATCTACTTTTGAAATGGATCCCAGTAACAGTAGCACATTCCAAAAGGGATTTACACACTCATCATGTCCCAATTATGTGAAACAATAATAGGCTTTATTTACACTAAACAAAATAATTAAATTTGAATAAAATTTAATAGTAATAATATCATAATTGAGTTGGTAAGTGCATTCTCTGCACATTATAACTTGAAATATAGTTCAAAGTAAAAATGTAGACATCTATGTGAATGAAGTTGAAAAATGTTGAAATGTTCTGGATAAATAAAGAAAATGGGTAGGTAGCTGGGACCCTAGTAACCAATGCAGGCGAGAATGCCTAAATTGGCTGCTAGGTCATTCCTTGGACCAAGCCTCTTTTTACTTTACATAAATGATCTGCCTAAGAATATACTCAGATTCTTTGTGAATATCTATGCTGATGATATAGTGGTGGGGGGAAACTGGCTGGTTACATTCAGCATCTCGAAAACCAAACTTGTTACATTCCATCATTGCCTATCGGACTCTGAACTACCACCAGTCATAATGAATGAATTCTCTCAGGGTGGCTCTGTGCCTTGAGAGTCTATTAGGCTTTAAACTCGCCCGACTTCAAGTAGAACTCATACATATGATCCATTACTAAAGATGCAGGAGAAATGGTTGGTTCCATGTACTGCTCCAGCAAGTACCTGACCACGTGCTACCCTCTACCTTTACAAGAGTCAGATCAGGCCTAAATTGGAGTACAATTGTCATATTTGGGCAGGATCTGCCCAGTCCTCATTTTTCAGTCTTGATAGAGTCCAAATTCGTCTTAGAGTACTTGTAGGTGACATTATTTTCTATCCTCCAATGTCTCACTCACAGGTGGGACATGGCAAGCCTCTCACTAATCTGTACTACTGTACTGATGTGGCATTCACCCTGGGTGGATTGAGCCGGCTTCTTCCTGTTATGAGAAGATTCTTGGGATAAATTACAGAAGTAGGGTACCCAGGCCTACTCGGATAACGTTCTTACTTGCCGCGGGATTCCCACAGACGCAGAGACAGGAACGACCAGAAGCCGCCGGTTACCGATGCAGACGCTCACCGAAGTTAAGCAGCGTAGAGCCAGGTCAGTACTTAGATGGGGGATCGCTTGGGAACACCTGGTACTGTAAGCCCCCAAAGTCCAACCCTTACCTCACAGTCGGTGGGGGGGGGGGTGTAAAACGGTAGTGTCAGAGCTATGCCGCCCGGAACTTCGTTCCTGGTAGGGCCACCCAAGGCGGACAGGTCTGACACACACGCCAGCTAACAAGGGCTCTGGTGAAAATCCAAGGAGCGTCTCACTAATCTATCACTACTTCCATTGAAAGTGCTAGGATGAACTGCATTTCTTGGTTCTGACAGAACCTTCATGGCCAGGACCCACCATGCCACCAACATTCCCTCTGTATTCCAGTGGTGAGCAGTAAGTTCCACTTGAACAATAATCTTCCTGTGAACCTCTGCTCTGTGGAACTGACTCCCAAGAGGATGTTTCCCCCAATCACTACAATCTTAAACTGTCTAGGATTAACTTCAGTGGTCTGTGAGCCTTGTACAGGATGAAACCCACTGTAAAAAAAAAAAAGAAAAAAAAAAAAAGAAGAATATCTACTCAACATTTCTTGGTTGAACTGGTGGTCTCATGAAATTTGAATAGATGTCACTTTTTTCTGTTATCTTCTGGTTACTGAAGTTTTGGTGTGAACAGAGTTTAAATATACAGTGGATATGATTAAGTTGACTGATTACTGATCAGCCAAAAGTCTTTGAAATATAACAATGTAAAAATTGATTTCCATATTGTCAAGTTTAAAATATCTGTAAGGTATAAATTTGTTTTATCTTTCACATTTTTCAATTAACAGGAAATTGCTTTCTTGTGTATCTTTTAATTTTGCCCTCCTTAGAAGCAGAAAGAATAAGATTAGGATTAAGAGTTCAGAAAATATAATTCACATATAGTTTGTATATTTGTGTTAGATAAACAAGTAATGCTTTAACGTAAGATTATCTTTCTCATATACTGACATAAAAAATTATGGTGTGGGTACCTAATATTGTGTAGAACCCTTTTTAGCCTGACTAAGTGTAGAAACTTGATATGGCATTGACTTTAAAAGGGATCAGCTGGAAAGATGTTGAGCCATGTCATCTTGATAGCTATCCATGGATTACTGCTATTCATAGGTGCAGGATTTGTATACAAATAGATCTTTCCATCACATCCTATAAATAATAATTGGCCTCATATCAGGCAAACATGGTGGCCATAGAATATTCATTGGAAATCTTCAGAATATTCCACAAACTAATTTTGGCCAAATTGAACCTGATGACCCGGTACATTATCCTGCTAGAATAAACCATCATTGGTGGGATACATACTGCAATCTGTTAAAAATTCCTTTCTACTCAAAGGATAGATCAGAAGCTGGTCTGGTGCAGTAAGTGTTGTCAAATACTGCCTAGTCTCACAACAAAAAATTCAGTCAGGGATCAATTAATGTGAGATGAAGAAAACGTGCGGTACGACTGTTCTCATAAAGTCCCTCTCACAAGAAAAGATGAGCAGGGAGGGAAGGCAGGCCTTAAGTAACAAGGTGGCAGACTTGTGCATCCCACCCCTTCCGGTAAAAAGATCACAAAAACCCGTGCTTGGAGTGGCCTCACTTTGAAAAACAAGTCATGGCAAACACTCCGCCTTTCATGTCTGATCGCAACCCAACACGTGCAGGTAATTTTCTACAAATCATTGGATTGAAATTGCAAGGATCAATTTTGTAAGGCCAACAAACCTCAGTTGTTTTCAACAATCTCAATTGATTTACCCAGGGCCAGGTTATCCTTTAGGCTAGTATAAGGCTTAAGCTTTTTATAATGATTTTAATTTTCTAGATGTTAGAACTTTCATAAACTGAAATGGTATCAATATCACAAACTCATTTATTTAAAAAGAAAAGAATGTTTTATTTTGAGTCATTGTGTTTCAAGTAAATGACATATTTGATTTTAATTTTCTAAATGTTATAACTTCTAAATAGTTCCATAAAATGAAATGATATCAATATGACAAACTCATTTATTTTGATTGTTATAATGATGGTTATAAAACTTTTTTTTTTTTTTTAACTATTGTTGTATTGAAATATATGGTAATTTAGTTTGTAATAAAATATTGGTATTTCTTAAAGAATATTGGCAAAAAAAGTTATTCTAGTTTAGTGAAAGAATTTGCAGTAAGTTTACTTGAAGTCATGTAAATGTTGCTAAAATATATTACAAGTAAATAATATTCAAAACAGGTGAAGGTGAGGATGGCTCTGTCAGAGGAGTGTCCCATAATTTCATTAGCCTAGGGGCCTTAAAAGGTCATAATCTAGCCCAGAATTTACCTATCACCCTGCTCCATTGAATCAAGAAAGATGGAAGTAAGAATAAAGAAAACAAGTTTATCCTTCCTGCATACTTGAATGCTGCTCATGTCCAGCTTCTACCTACACTGGACTTTGAAACAGACAGTGAAGTCCATAGAGGGGTGTAAATGAACATGAAATAGTGCAACTTACTAGTTAATGGCCAATGGCATGTTTAGGCAAACCCCTGGTCCTAACCCATGCTATATAAACATATCAAACACCATTATGAAACCATTACCAGCCTGTACAGTGTATTATTGACAATTGGAGCTCATGATCTCATGGTGTCTGCACCAAACCCAAACTCTACCATGAGCCCAAAAATTTAGAATCAAGATTCTTCAGCTCGTACCACACATTGCCAGTCCTTGACGGTTTAAATAGTAATGTCAGGAGTCCAAGTGAGGCAGTGTCTTGTGTTATGATAATAAAAGGAGTCACCTTGGTGGGTCTCCTGCTCCGATAGAAACTAAAGAATACTCACTTGACTTGTAGGATATACATCTGATACCTCCTGCATCAAATGTGGGTGTGATTTGAGCCAGTGTTACTTATCTGTTATTACAGAGACTACTAGTTAGGATAATTAAGAACCCATGGTCAGCCATTGTGCTGTCCATGGTGGGCAGTAATGCCTTCCATCTGGTACTCTCAGTACAAATGTGATGTTATAGATCAGTGGTTATTAGCATTTTTTCTAAACAAAACTGAAGAGCTTCTATCTGTCCATTAGTTGATGACATGTAACTATGTATTAACATAAATATCTAAAGTTTCCAAACAGTTTTGTCTACTAAATTTCATTCACAAGGCTTGGCTCAAACCATATGGTTTTCAGGCACTTTTGGTGCTATATTTTGGAATCATTTCCTCAGGAAGATTATATCAAGAAGTCAATTTCTTGACTAATCAACCACGGTGAGATTTGAATCCAGGTGTCATGGTTGGAAGACTAATATTCTAACCATTTAGGGAAATACCTGTTTTTCATTTATACTGGTGTTGACAAGGAATACCCTTAATTGTTTTTTCATATCATTTTTCTTATTTTCATAGAAGTGAACAAATTGTTGCTTCTAGACTGAGTAGAAATTGGCTATAGTTTTTTTTTTTTTTTATTGTCAGTTCTGGCACTTTTGACCATTTTCTGGTTATCCTCAGGAATTGTCACATCAGTTTGTGTTCATCATCTATTTTAAGAGAATGGTTGAATGTTGGAATTGATGATAAAATCAATGGGCAATTTCTGCACAGACTTGAACCAATCATTCATTTCTTTGTATGAAAAACAAAAATATTACATAAAAAATTAAATTATTTCATGTCTGTCATATTTAATTATATGTGTAAAAATTCAGATATAAATAACAGCAGCATTTTCTCATTTTTGTTTATTACATCACTTAGTGTCCTCCATAGTTTATTCCTTCTTTACAAAGCAAGCTCTAAGAATATTTTAGTGTTTGCAAATTCAAAATTTAAAAACTTACTATTTTTCTTCTATATTACATGTGTATAAATACAAGTTATGAAATAAAATTTCTACATTTACCTTGATAAAGCTCCTTAAGTAATGAAATGCATTGATATAGAAAAGTATGTGTGTATAAATATTATCTTAAAACAATTTACCAAGCTATCACTGAGAAAGAAACAAAATATCTTTGAAGAATGTTGCACAAAAAGAATTGAGAAAATAAAACAGATAATCAAGAAAAATTGGAATGAGCAACAAGAAAATATCCGAAGAACTTGGTGCAGTGAATGTAAAGAGAAAAAAGATGCAGAATACAAAAATGCACATCCTTTCGGCATCATAAACCTTTTTTATCATATATTCTAACCCTTTTGTTTAAAGTTCATATTTTCTTGATTTCAGATGAAACCAAGGATAATTTGCAAAAGGTAAGGATTCTCAAAAGAGAAAAGCTAAAACACTACCAAGAACCGACAGTTAGGCTGAATTTTTCTTTGTAAAAACAATCTACTAATGCATGTGAAAAAAAAATAGCATAATAAACTGTATGTTTTTATGTCCATAACCCATTGCTGTCACAGGTACACTACATCTTTACCTATTACATCATACATGCATCATCTGGCTGAGTTCATTTCTATAAGTGGGGGAGTGTGAAGCCATTGAGTGCACTGCCATAGCTAATGTTAGGGTTCTTCAGTTTTTATATATATATATATATATATATATATATATATATGAGAGAGAGAGTCATGAATTCTATGGCTAAAATACCTTTAAAGTCTAAAAAATGATTTTAGATGAATGAATATATATATGAATTGAAATCAAATATAGATTTGAATCTGACAGAATGATAGGATAAGGAACAAATTAGAAACAAATTTAACATGTTTTGCTTTTATTTAAGCTTCATCAGAAAATGAAATATGGAGGAGAAAAGAAAATTATTGTACTTTTTATTTTTGTGTTTTTCATTAAGCAGACCTCACATGTATCTGTCCTCTCAAGCAGTGTTTGTGTGTATAATTCAAGTGTTTGTGTATCACAATTCCAGTTGGTCTAAGCAGGATTTGGTTGATAATGTGCGTGTGAGCATCTAGTGGGCATTTTTATTCATTTGTTTTTGTGGTTTGGAACTTGATGTATAAATGAAATTCTAAAGAGCAATTAGATTGGACAATGACTGAAATCATTTTTTCTTTGACTTTTGACTGCAATTGCTATGTTTTTCCACACCCACATTTTATTTGTCTGCGATTGGCTAATAAATCAATACTACTTTTCTGTGACAATTTAGCCATCGCAGTCATGTCTTTGAATCCTTCGGTTTTGAGCTTGCTTGCCTGTTTTGTTAGTACAAATGTAGTGATTGGTTAATTTTTAACCAATTACATATTTTAGTGCAAGATTAACCTTTTCCTGCACTTCTGTGGGAGCTTATTCTTTTTCCTTAAAAGAGGCGACTTTTTCACAAGTCGTCAGTAGGATCCAGTAAATTTCGCCTGTCCAAACGAGTCCACGATCTTACTTATAACATTTCAAATACACACACAGATACAGAATTTTGTAATATAAACTCACACTTCTCTCTGTGACTTAGCCAAGCTCAATCAACCAGGACTGTTAATTTCGAACCATTCTATAACAACACATTTCTGATCAATTGTATTCTTGTGTTATCTATTCTAACAGTCCTTGTTCTAATATTGATTCCTGAACATTTTTCTCCCAAAAAGAACTTCCTTTGAACAATCCATTACAAACCAAAATACAATTAAAGGGGAACAACTTCTTTCCCTTAATCTATACATTGAATACAATTTTATTGCATATTTGGTCTTGTATGTTATTTCAATATATACTTGTTGATTCACATTTGGAGTTTTTGTTGTTTACTTGAATCCTGTATGTTGAAAGTAAAATAATATAAATAGTATTGGTCCATCTACCCACTGGGCCATTACAAGCTTAATTTTTTATCTTGATTTTTTTTTTTTTGGTTCAACACTCAAAATGATAAACTGAAATCAAAAACCTATCATATACAAAAGTAAATAAAAACATGAAAAAGAGCAGTTTGGTAACCAATTTTGTTTATTCCAATAGCAACAAGCATTTTACAAGCAGTTTGTGTTCTCTTGATTCTTTTGGAAACAAAAGCGCCTGAGAAAATGGAAAGATAAACAACTGGTGACCTCCAAAATAAAACATGGTAAGATAAACCTATAATACCTAAAGAAAATATCATCACTCGCTTATTTCTGCCTCTTTTTTTGCTTTGATACGAGCAGCTCGCATTTTCAATCGTTTTTCACGCTCGTATTCCTTCATGCGAAGAACCCAACTGAAAAAAAGAAAGAAAAAAAAAAAAAAAGAAAATTCTGAAAATAGATTTAGATCAAAACAGTCTGGAAAATCACTACTTACATGGTACAAAAACAAACACCATTTCCAAATACAGCATTTTGTAAGTTTAGAAAAACTAAAACAGTCAACAGCAACAATTCAGTGAGAAAACATTTCCTTTCATCTTAAAGGGTAAAAGAATTTAATGAGGTTATTTAGAAAATTTGTTGGGATGAAAGCTGGCAAATTGTTAAAAAAACAATTCTGATATTTTATTAAACTTTAAAGAATTCTATGTCAGAGAGCACATTTTGTTTAAAATTTCTCGAGTAGAGATGGGCAGTTAAACCAAAAAATGACCCCCTTCCCCGGGTTTCATCTACACACTAGAAACCACACCAAAATTTTTTTTATGAAATTGAAGCTGTTCAGTATAGTGATATTACTACTAAGTGACCATGCCTACAGAAACACAGATTTGAATAAAATTACATTTTATCAACATTTGTACTATTAGTAAAAGGAAAGATTAAACAAAAAAATAATAAAAACATTTGATTTTTAAGAAATAAATGTAAGAATAAAGCTATTTGTTTACATTTTTAGCATTTAATATATTCAAATGAAAAAAGAAAAAAGGAAATATGATAGACAATATGACATCGTATGTCAGAAATTTATTTTATATTTTAGCCTAAAATGTCTTTAAAGAAAAAAAAAAAAAAAAAAAAAAAAAAAGGAAATATGATGTTGGAAATCAATTTATCTCAATCCAAAATTGTAAAAGATTTTTTTTGGATGTTTCAGTTTCAAAGTTAAAAAAAACAAAAAAAAACAAGTTATCAAAATGAAATGTTTTAAAAAAAATACTTTTGGTAAAAGTAAATAAATGAAGTCAGCAAAATGAAATAGTAGCAAGTAAAAATTTAAAAAAAATCAATAATTGCCAGTTCCAGTTTTGCTTCAATGTTAAATATTATGAAGTCGGATTTCATAAAGCCACTGCATAAAATGATTGTCATTTCCAAGTCATGAATTCTAAGACTAAATTAACTTTAAAGCCTAAAAAATGATTTTAGGTGAATAATCTCTACTTTTTTTTTTATATCAATCCTTCTTTCAGCAAGGCTGGATTTGTCATCAGTGACTGGAGATATAGGCTGAAACCTACTCAAGCTGAGAAACATTCTCTCTTTACAAAATTAAATTTTTTACCTGTTGAATAATTTTGACAATATTTCATTTTCATGTCGATTTGTTGCTTAATTTTGTTTGTTAAATTATTTTGTCCAAATAAATTTTATGGTTGTTAATTTCTTGCACTTTTGGGTTGTATTTTAGTTTCTGAGGGGTTAAAGAATTAGACAGAATGGAGATTCAAGTTTTATTCTACAGAAATCTTTCATGAATCTCTGGTCACTGTTTTAAAGAGTTAACCGTTTCAGAAAAATTCAACAGTCAACTCCTTAAAGCGTATATGATTCATAGCATCATAGAGAATGTTTGACTCATAAGTTAACCTCATCTTTATTGAAATAGTGGCATAATTCAACTAAACATTGAGTAATAAATAATCATCACACAAGATAATGAATGGCTTCCTTAGAAAGAAAAGATACTAAATTAGAAACTGAAATGAAAACCATGGTACATATAAAAAAAAAAAAAAAAAAAAAAGATAACGAAATCAAAATTTCCAAACCACCCAACTCTATTCTTGAGTTAACAGAGTGTCTATTTCAAACACGAGTATCCATTAAAAATAAAATCTGATGTAATTAAATAACTGACACAATGACTCTCCACAAAACTTGTTTAAAACAGACATGAAGTAAAGTGAACTGAATAATTTTATTGAGGCCTGAATCATGGCAATTTTCATGACTGTGTAGACAGTAAATTCTAGAAATGACAGCTTCTAAGTGACTGTTGGCTGGCCAAAGGGAAGTGGAGAAAATAAATAAATAGATGAAAACTTCCAGGATCAATTGTCACTTGGCTGGAAGTTAGAATGGTTCAGTCAGAGGTTTATATAAGTATAGTCACAGAATGGTCAGTTTTGAATCATGCATTGGGAGGAAATCTGTCAATGGAGATGTAGGAAGGCAGAGTCAGAAATTTGCACATTGTGAAATAGATATGGGTGGTAGGTGAAAGTAAGTAGTCAATGTGATAGGAGAGTGACAGTGAGTTAGAGTTCTTACTGACCAAAAGGAAGATCTGGTCTGTTAGTCTGTTGTGAGAAAAGATAGAAGTAGTAGCAAAAAAGACTCAATTGTCCCCATAGCTACCAAATTATGTCTGGTGAATCTGTGAATAAATAACCTAATATATTGGAAACAAGATGTGTTTTCATTTTTCACTGTGGAAATATTTTCATCTTTTGGTTCCTTGTGAACATACACCAAGTTTTTGTACACACTGATGCAGACAGCAATCAAAACAACAATGGCTGATTTTGTCCAGTTGCCTTGTATCGTTACATAATTAATATTGCATAATTATTTTATTAAACAGGAAGAAATATAACAACTAATTATGGACATTACTATGCTTCTCAAATATTTAATTTGTTTAAAAAAGAAAAGAAAGACTGTAAAATAATGTGTTCAGTGTGTGTATATATGTATAGATACGCACAACAAACCAACACCACAAATCAAAGTATTGGTAAAACCAACACAAAGCCTGTTAAGTGACCACAGAAAATCAAAATCAATGGATCAACCCCCTCCTCTATCAAAAAACAAACTGAGAAAAAAAAAAATAATGCAAAGAGGGACACCTACCTAAACAATAAAAATTTATATCTAAATGAGGAAGACAGAGCAACTACTCAGACTGCTACTCAAGTTTCATGCTGCCATGATCATCAGGTGAACAGAACACCTGTGTGTGCACGTTCATATTCTGTTATAGCATAGATGAATTGTAGAGAAAGAGATAAATGAAGAAAGAAAAAGATCTTATTGAAATGATAGTTTTGAGCACTGACACATGAATTTGATTATAATGCAAACAAATGTAAATCAATACACAAGTTTTAAAAATTGACTTTAAAAAAAAAATTGGTTATAACAAATATATGCTTACTCATCAAATTCACACTGGTCATATTCATGTTTTTCATGATGACATTTTGTAGTAAAGGGATACACCTGTTTCCGACATGTCATCCATTTTATATAATGGTGGGCACAATAGTCACGTTTGTCCAGGGGAATATTGTGCATGTTTAATTCTTCTTGGGTGGCAACCATAACTAAAGAACAAAATAAAAACAAAACATGAAAGGTAGTCTGAAGAAAGTAGGAAATAAAAAGTCAAACTGTTACACAAACATATACTCCCTTTTGTAGGATGGATTTTTGGTTTTGGTTTTGGTTAGCCAGAACAAAAAAATCTATGCTTTTTTTTTTTTTTTTATTGAACTGTCCGAGAAAAGTAAGATTTAAAACTATGATTATGAAAGAGACACTTCTACAGTATAAACATAACATTGCCTAAATATAGGCTTCTTCAAGTTTTATCAGAAACTCCTACCTTCAGTTTATTCTGAGATCATAGTTTCACAGGAAGCAGTCTCATACAGATAAAAATTATTTTCTTTTGTTAAAGATACATTCAATTGGTTAAATTTTGCAAAAAAATAAAATAAAAAACAAAGCTGCAGCTCTCTTATTTGTTTTATCAAAACATTCAAAATTTATTTTTTTATTTCTAGAAATGTGTTTTTACAAAAATGTTACTTAAGAAAAAGATAGGATGTAAACACCTCCCTAAGCCCCCCCCCCCACTTTTTTTTTTTTTTTTTAAAGACTTTAACAGTCTTCATTTACACTATTTACATTGTTTGTACTGTTGTCCTCATTTTTGTTGCCATATTCACAACTTTTTGGCCATTGTACACTCCGGACTTCAGATGATTGGAATTTCAAACTGAACACTTTATTTCGACCACTGGGGTAGATTGTTCTAGTTCAACATGCCATGCCTCTTCCAGATATCTCAGTTATTTCTCTAACTTCTCAAAGTTTTTGTTCACCACTGCAGTAGCCAGGTATTGAACTCACAACTCTTTGGATCAATTCACTGAATCAACCAATGCTTTTATTCACTGGGCAATGTATCCTTATGGCATATGGAACTAGAACAATCTATCCTGGTGGACGAAATAAAGGGTCCACTTTGAAATTCCAATCACCTGAAGAAAGCCAGACTATAAAACTGGCTGAAACGTTGTGAATATGGCAACAAAGATGGGGACAACAGTCCAAATAGTGTAAATAATTACATCTCATCTCAGAAATATAGACAGAAACAGGCTTCATATATACATTTCTACAACATGCTGTTAATATTGGTATTCTTGAATATGCATGAGAAGAATGTTGTCCGACGTAAAACCCAGTAATTTTGTACAAGTCATTAAAAAGACCAAGCTTTACTGGTTATAAATGATAAGCTAATGCAAGAAAACTGGGTTAGATTTGAATTTTACAAAATAGCTAGCAATTATAACACATTCAGGTACAAGAATCTGAATTAGACTAAACTTACAATTCTTTTTAAAGACTTAATTGAATGTACAAATAAAAGGTTGCACTTTAGCACAAAACATTCAACCATAAACAAATCTACAGTTAAATGCAACTTATTGGAATGAATACAAAGATTAATTGAAGACAAAAATTAATTTGGAGATTTATTCCAACCTTAAATGAAAATTACTGATCTGTTAGATAACAGGGTACTGCTCTACTGTTAAAGTCATACTCCTCCTATCTTACTTTTTGCAAAAAGATAGAAATACTTCTAGAGTATTTTAAAAATAATATGGATTAATGTATTGAGTTTGATGCAATTCATTTGAGAGTATCAATCAAGAAATGAGATCATGTTTGAGATTGTGAAGCACAAGTGCAACTTAAGTCAGTCATTGACAACAGTAACATTGTGACTAAGTAAGGATTGAGGATGAATGACAAACTTAACAATTCAATGTACCAAAGTATAACTAGCCAGGAAGTAGCTCAACCCAGATCTCAAGTGGAACTCATACATAGGAAAAAGGGTCAGTTTCTCGTACTGCTCCAGTAAGTACTAGACTCCTCCTGTTATCTACTACTTTTGCAAGAGCCAGATCAGGTTTTAAATGAAGAACTGCTGCCATATATAGGCAGAAGTCACTCAATCTTCACTTTCTACTCTTGAGTCCAAAAGCATCTTCACGTCCTTGTGGGTAATGAATTTTCCACCCTACAATCCATTTCTCACAGACGAAATGTAGCAAGCCTCTCCCTGCTCTATTGCTATTTCCATGGAAAGTGTTTAGAAAAACTACATTCCTTAGTTCCACTACTTCTAACTTTAACAGCTACGACCCGCCATGGTACACATATTGTAGCACACCACCCACATTCCCCTTGTATTTCATGGGTGAGATGTAAGTTCTACTTGATCGTTGTCTTCTTCCCATGAACTGCTGCTTTGTGGAACTGACTCCCAAGAAGATGCTTCCCCAATCACTACAATCTTAACCTGTTCAAATTTAAGGTTAACTGTTATCTTTCCTGCATGTCACCATAAATTCTGCCTCTTGCTCTGGATCCTTCTACAGGGTGAACATCATTGTAAGAAAAAAAATTATAAGTATGTAAGAAAAAAAATTATAAGTATGTTAGAAATCTGTGTGCCATATCTCTCTAGGATGTGGGTGATCATTGTTCTCCACAATTCCTTATCTTTTGTAGCTCTGAGTAAAGTTTGTCTTTTTGCTACCCCTTCCAGTTCTGGAAACTATTTAGACAAGCTCACTAGGTAGGTTATTTGCTATTCCCATTGTCTTTCTTGCCTTAAATGTGTCCTTTGAGTGTTAAATTCTCAACACTCGTTTCTCATTATGTGCCCTAGAAATTTCAATTCTCTCTTAATGATTCTAAATAGAAGTGTCTTTTTCGTTTCCATTTTCCTTAAAACATCGTCATTGCTCACATATTCCGTCCATGGTATTCTCATCATCCTTCTGTAGAACCACATTTCTATTGCCTCAAATCTCTTCAGGAGTGTCTAGCATTTGTGGCCATATAGGAGGACCAATATTACATAACAATTCAGCACTCATTTATTTCTAAAAAAATAAATTCCTGTTTCTTAATACTTTTCTTAGCTTTTGGAATGTATCTTTCACTATTACAATGCACTTTCACATTGGAATAGCAAAAGATGTCTTATAATTCAATAAAAAAAAAGCAAAAAAAAGCACACACCTTATTTGGCATTTTCAGTAATTTTTCAATGCAGATTTGTTTTATTAACAGGGCTGGATTGTTATTCAGTGCAGAATTGAATCCAGTTTTAATAATAAAAACGTTATGTAATTCTTTTGTAAAATTGCTGAGAGAAGGTGTTCATTTCATATGGATAAAAAATGAGAAGGATGTCATTAATGAAATTCAGAAATAGTAAAACAGAACCAATCACATAATATAAATGTTTGTAGTATTAATGTTAAAGTTTAACCAATATTGACAACATTCAGGAAATGACATCTATGTAACAAAAGACAAGTTGACTGAAAAAAAGCAAAGTCATGATATTATTTTAATAAAAAATAAAAACTTACAGAACATTATTATTGTAGTGAGTTTGAAACTTATTGGGTACTCCATATTTTTGGTTTTGCACTGCATTAAACTTAACTGAAAGAGGCTAATATACTTTTTCTAATATGTATTAAGATGAAAGTAATTATGTATTTCACTACTATGACTATGAGTCAAACAACTAAGACAGAAACCAGGTAGAATAGTATGAAACTGCATCAAGAATTAGTTTATCATTACTTCTATCTGATAGTGGGTTGTTTATAGTGCATTTCAAAGTTTAACAACTTTAAAAAGAAGCATTGCTTACTGTATGAATTCCAAAAGATAGTACTGCTACAAAGTTTATTTAAAAACATTTCTGCAGTGTGTGCAGATGCAGTTAAAGCTCATACATGTCAGATATGTTACAATTGCTATTTTTAAAACACATCTGACAAGACGTGCTCTGGAAGACGGGCCACTATGAATGAAAAACTTTTGAAAGAGACTAGTGAACTGGATCCATGTTAAAGCACCAGGGATTTGGCACAAAACTTAGTGTCATGTTTAACTATCCACAAACATCTCAAGATTCCAAAAAGTTGCAAAGAGAGAATTTTAGTTTCTTATGAGCTTTCACTTGAGAACTAAACACAATTTCAACATATTCATAGGTTTTTGCATGACAATGGCACAAAATGATAAACCAGTGATAATCTCAAAATTAGAACACTGTTCAAAGAAGTGCTCACTTTGTCTGGTATGATATAAAAGGTGTTTTCCATTATGATCTATCAGAACATGGAAGGATCATCACTGCAGACATTTATTGCCAGTAACATGGTTGCACCACACTGAAAATGTGCTACTTTGGTAGACATGAAAGGTGTTATTCTCCAGCATGACAATACAAGGGCACACAAACCTTAAAAAAAAAAAAAAATTCTTCATAGGCAGAGTTTCATTTGTTTCAATCACTAGAACATTTCATAAGTGCTAGAACATTCAGCAAAAAAGAACATGAAACTGTCTTTCAAACATTTTTCTGTGAAAACCCCAGATTCCTTTAAACAGAATTGTAAATTTGCTTTCTGTTTAGGCTGCAGTTGTTGAAAATTAACGTGATTATATTTTTAATAAATGATAATTAGATAAATTTAACTTACATTTATTTTTATATCCTTTCTGGTAAAATGTAATGACGTTCCAAACATCCTAATAAATTGTTGATTATTCAAATGCACAGTTAATGTTGTTTCAAGATAAATTATTTCAATAAAAATAACAATGTTAATTGTAATTCTTTTGATTATATAATTAAAAAAATTACAAAGTGGATCACTTTATCAGACCTGAAACCATTTGACCTCTTTGAGTTTACTAAATATCTCCAATTTTCTTTTGCTTATCAATGAGGGTGGGATGTTTTCTGACCATACGTGAAAGTAATAATAGCAACAAAAGCTAAAAAAAAAAAAAAAAAAAGAGAGAAAGTGTGTATGAGTATAGAAAATAAACCTTATTTTCAAAACAATTATATTTATTTGCCCATACACACCATATTACAACATGTTGAAACTTTATTTTCTACCCAATAACAGACAATATTTACAAATATGCTAAAAAGGAAAAAATAAAACAAAAAAAAACACTGTTTAAATTTAAGTGTTCATCTTCATGTGAAATATTTGACCAATCAGAGAAAACTAAAAGTTTTAGTTTTCTCTGATTGGTCAAATATTTTTAGTCTAAAACCCTATTTTTCTCAAGCCCACTTTTGTGAAAAATCGCTTATAAAACTTCACAGATTTCATCTTTCAGGATCAGAGAAGCAACTGTTTCCAAGCCATTGAAACAAGACATAGGTTTTTTTTTCCTTTTAGCATGTGCTGAAAGAAACAGGTGTCAGCAACTTCAAACGAATCATCAACAACAGCTCAGATGGTCAGTGAATCTTCTTAGCTGACAATAAAAGTCTTTTCTAAACCATAGCTTTTTTCTATGGACCCACTACTAAAAAATTAACCCAACTATTTTTACTCCTTTTTGATGTCATGTATATATGTTTGTAAATACAAATAATCTATTTAACATGTTTTCTTTATTTTTACATTTGTTTGGAATTCAGACGTTCAGATTTTAATATAAAAAAAAAAAAAAGGGGACAACTGAATTACCACTCAGCAGGATTACCATTTTTTAGCTGAAAATAAAAATTTAAAGATTTAACAAAATGGCTTTGTGATTCTCAAAATTATTCTTCTTGGTTAATTGGACAGTAAACTTTGGCAGTTCATAAACTAAACAAAATCTGCACGGTTAAATTTATCCAAGAAAATTATTCCATCAAATTTCTAGCATGCTATCAGTCTTCTTGCTAATATTCTAAGAGAGCATCAACTTCGAGAAAGAGGGGGAAAACTCCATACTATCAATCAATTCTTTCTTTGCTTACCATTTTTTTTTTTAATTAAAAAAAAAAAAAAAACGATGGGAAGTAACCCATCCGAAGAAGTGATTCTTACGAATTAGAATTATAAAAAAAAATTCTTGCATTTTTAAACAAATAGTTCTGAATTAAGATCATAAGAGAGTAAAAAAACCTTCATAATTTTTCATTATTTAAGGAATTAAAATTAAATAATTCATTAAATAATGAAACTATTTGCATAAAAATTTTATGCAAACAGAGTTTCTTTAATTAATAATTCCTTAAATAATGATACACACATTTTGAGAATAAGACCAGGATAAAATCAAATTTAATGTTTCGTAATATTTTATTTTTAATTATTTTTTATTTTCATTGTCTAAATAATCCAGCCAACTTCATACATTTCGGACGAAATAAAGTTTGAACAGTCAAATTAAGTTGGGCCCCTCATTTTGCAAAATGGTCAGCATGCTAAACTTATAGTTTGTTAACATTAGTTGTTACTTAACGGCATAGTGCTAAAAACTAATCTTAAATTAATAAATGACAACAGTAATTTTAAGTTCTCCAAGCCAAGGGTACTTGTTTTCCATACAATATTAAGAACTATCAAGAGTTAAATTATATATAATGGAATCAACTAAATAAGAAGTGAAAATCAGGGTGCACTTTTTAAAAATTAAGATTTAAAACTAAAAGAGAAAATAAAAATTGTAAATCCAATAACAAAAAATAAAAATAGTAAGAAGGTCATATGGCAATGGCAGGACATTCCAACTTTCAAGGAAAAAGTTTTAACTTGTGAAAACGTCATACCTCGAGGTTTTCGTCCATTTGGAAAGCCCACATTTGGATCGAACGTTGGTGGTTTATTCCAATCCGGAGCTTCTTCTGGGTGCAAATAAGCATGAATTACATGGCCATATGAGTTCCCCATCTTTTCATAGTCCGAGGTCACCACGACGAGCAACCGCTACCCGACACTGAAGAGTGACATTAAAGGGAGATCATAGAGAAATATACCGATTATCTCCCTTGGTTTTTCAGTTTAGTAAAATGAAAGATCCATTTTAAAAATAACTTTATGGTGTTTCTGTCTGTGAATGATAAAAGTTCCTCTTATCTTTGAATAAAAAGAAGATTAATTACTTTTACAACTGTTAAACATAAGAGATAAACACAAACCAAATAAATGCCTAATAACGCACCATTCTGAACAAACAGTAACAAAATTTATATATTTGTCAATTTTTAATTGTTAATCTGGAATATGATAAAAAATAAGCATATATTTTGTTATTAAGCGATTATAAAAACGAGTAATTAATATAAATCATGATTCATAACATTGCATTGAATAAAGGAGATGATTTAGTTCAAGATAACATTAGTTACATTTACAGATTTACTACTTTAATTTTTTAGAAATATATTAAAAATAAAAAAAATATTCCCAGAATGAGAATAACTTGACAAACAATTACGAATTAACATCGCTTAGACTCATTCCTGAATTGCATGAATTTATTAAGGAAAAAAAACTTTACTAAAAATACTTACGAGTGATCTCCCTTAGCTTATAACACCGTTATTAAAAAAAGCTTTCTTTTTCTGTGAAAGTTTTTCAACACTTAATTTCTGTTTAAAAGAAAAATAAATCATCTATCAATGTGTTCTCTCACATTTTTTCAGCAGTTTAAAGGTTGTTGACTGAAATTATTGAGTATTTATTTCTAATGTTGATAATAAATACATATTCATTAAGGTATGAAAAATAAATATTTGTTGTAAAAAATAAATGTCTTTTCATTATTGGATTGTAGAGTTATCGACGTATAAGTAAACAACATTTGTGAGAAATACTATGGAATATATATTTTTTATATTTAGAAAATATCAAATTAAGTTTAAATTCTAAGTTATTTGAATTATGAAATGAAGATCTTATTAATTTTTTCTAGTTTTCTGTTTTTTTTCAGTATAAATTTATATAATGACAAAGAAAAATGATTTTTTACAGAAACTAAGAATATATATTTTTTCCTTTCTTATTGGAGAAACTTGTTATTCTTATGTTATTCTGTACAAATCTGATATTTTTAATTTATTGATGTTTATTGTGAAGTTTAAAAATCTGCATGCCATGTTTATTTCAGTGGTTAAAAAAAAAAAAAAAAATCAATGTAATGTTAAAACTATCTCCTGACCAATGAGGATTGCTCATGAGAGTGTATGAAAAGGAGTAGCAACCACTTCTCCCTTTTTCTCTCATCTTGGACTTTAGTCACAAGTGTCTTCCTTTTTTATCAGGTAATCATCTGTAGTGAATGTCATCTCACTGATTCCAAATGCAATTTCTACAGACAGAACACATTTTATTGTCCCGAAAGAGACTCCAGCTCTTGAACAGACACTTTATAGACCAATAATGAATGGACACTTCTTGTTGTTGTACGAGCTACTACAGATTGTTGTTGGCCCCATTTTTCTGACAGTCAAATGAAGGTGTTTACTGCTGATTATATCATGGATATAATAATGCCCATAATGGGGGAAATGCAAATGAGAGAATATTCCTTTCTTTCATAACTCACCCATTATTATTTAAAAAAATAATTTAATTAATGACCTTTAAAATTTTTCATGCACACATATGATCCTTTCATGACACACCAGCTGAAAAATCACTGCTTTAGAGGAAAGAGAAGGTGATGTTTCGACTGACAGCAAACAAAAGAAAGAAAGCAAATGGTTATTTGCATGTTCCAAATGAGAAATAAAACAACATTGTCAAATAAATTTGAATACAATTTAATAACAACAAAGGTGACAATTAAATGAAAGAGAAAAGGCATTCTCAGAACGGTTAAAGAGTGTTTGTGAAGAGTCTATAGAAATAAAGTTTGGGAAAATCAATTGTCTGTGTATGTACAGATGTGTGAGTGTGCACAATATACACAAGTGTGAAAATATGTATGTATGTGAGTGTATGTGTATATATTTATGGATAGAAGAAACTCACTTACAGAAGTTTCTTTTTCTGTGATAGATGTAGTTAGGTGTTCAGGCAAGTATTTTATTTTGCTTGGGTTGATCTCTTTATGTGGTGTGACTGCCTAAATGAGAAAGGTTTTCTTTGGTGGGGTGTTAGTAATTGAATACACCGTGTGTCCTTGCTGTGTGTACTTTTGTATGTGCTCCTGTGCGTGCTTGCAGTGTGTTGTTTTGTGTATTCTCCTGTGCATGCTTGCTGTGTGTTGTTTTGTGCATGCTCCTGTGCATGCTTGCAGTGTGTTGTTTTGTGTATTCTCCTGTGCATGCTTGCTGTGTGTTGTTTTGTGCATGCTCCTGTGCATGCTTGCAGTGTGTTGTTTTGTGCATGCTCCTGTATGTGCTTGCTGTGTGTTGTTTTGTGTATGCTCCTGTGCATGCTTGCAGTGAGGTCCTGAATTAGTTTGATTTATTGGTTGTTATTCTGACTTGCATGACTTGCTATTTTTCTTCTAACCTACTTTTAAAAATTATCCTATTACAATCTTAGGCAAGTACAGTAATGCCATTCATGATTTTTATATACAAAAACTAAATGGTTGAGTTTCAGTATAGTTTAGGGTATCCCTTTAAAAGACCAAAATGTTTTCAAACACAAAGAGTTGAAAGAATAATTTCTTTTTTAAGAAAATTTTGTTATAATCATTACTGTCATATTTTGAAGAAACAAAAAAAAAAAAGGAGAAATCAAGGATAACAAACAAAATGATTAAATGTAATTTCAACATAATGAGAAAAAGTATGAATTAATTGACCATGATCTAAAATATTTGCATTAAGAATTTACTAAACAATGAAAAATATTAAGAGTTACAAAATACATCCTAAAATTGTTATAAGATCAAGTTGATTGGTGTTACTAGACTTTCAATAATTTATTATTGCATTTAAATCTAATGGAATAACCAACCCTATAGGTAGGCAATATAATTTATATATTACAAGACAGTAACCTTTTATTGTTTGTGATTAATGAACTAAAAGCTCCCAAGCCTTAAATGGGATGTATTTTGCTCACCAGTAATTTACAATCACCTGAGATGTATTGGTATGTATCAAAACAACTGCAATTGTGTAGGGATTTTTATGTGTTGTTTTAATATCTTCACTGCTACTAACAAGCAGGATTTTTTTTTCTCCTGATGATGGACATGCAGGCTGGAACCAGCTGAGGGACATAATTTAAATAATAAAACAAAAATAATATACAACCCAGTGTGACTGAAATATTAAATTTTAATATTTTTTTTATGTTTCAAGACACACACACATTTTTATATATGTATATATATATATATATATATTACACACACAGCAGGGAGAGAGACTGAAAGAGAGAAACAATATAAAGAAGGACAAAGGAATTGAGAGAAATCAAAAGATGTAAAAGAAGAAGAATGAGAGTGAAAAAGAGAAAGAGAGTGTGATAAAGAAAAGGTGATAGAGTCAAAAGGAGAAAGAAAAGGCTAAAAGAGAGAGGATGAAAAGCAGTATGAGACAATGGGGTGAGTTGAGTGAAGGGAAGTAACCATTTATTCTATAGATTAAAGATAAGAGCAGCTAAAAAAGTTAGGTTTCTTTCAATCCAGTGATGACAACTGTAAGTGAAAATGGAAGATGTTATGAATTTCAAAGCAATTAAAAACGCCAGGAAGACAAAGACAATAATAACCTTAAGAAAAGCTTTATTCAATAAAAGAAACTGAACAAAACAACATTTTTTGTGTCTCTCCACATAATCCTCCTCCCCAAAATACAGTAGAATTTATAAAAAAAATGTATGTTCATTTGAATACAAGAAATTTACATACACAAACACAAAAGAAGACTTCATTTCATAATACTCTACACTCCTGCTGGAAGGAGAAGAATCTTTTACTCATATAACAAGATCTTCATGCTTTGTTGATGCCTTTCGTGTTCTTGAAGACCTTCGTAGAACATTACCACCTTCGGGACTAGCCTGAAATTGATTAGAGACTGCCTCTGAATTATTATGCAAGTTGTAGTGCTGGGTCCTCAGGAGCATGTTGGATATTTGGGATACTTATTCTCTCGTTCACTTAAGTGGATGGACAAAGTACAAAGATATACTGTGAACTCTCATCCATCAGGGTACCTAATATTTGTGTATATAGGATTTATGTCAAGCGATTCCATCTTATTGACAAAATTATCATTTTTACTTGACTGGAAGAAGTTCTTCAGAATTACAGATCTGGAGACAAGGCACAATATTAGAGATGAGTCAGCTGAAGAGCGCCGGGAGAAATTGAAGAACCTTTCACATGGTGTAGTATTGGTAGATGTTGAAAGTAGGGAAGGAAGAAAATGGAGAGCATTTGGTAGAACTATTTCCCAAAATTTTATGTTCTTAATGCCAGGCAAATATTTCTCCAAATAAGTTGAATGTAGATTTCAACTTGTGAATTGCCAGTTGCGTGGTATGGAGCAGATGGGTTTGTGGTTATTCCTTCCTGAGTTAGGTAGGACTAATTCTTGGCTAATAAAGAATGCACCTCTATCAGAGTGAACATAAGATGGGAACCAAGAAAGACTGAAAATTTGGCCAAGGAATTTTATCACTGTCGCTGAACTGACATCCATCTATAGATGTTAACAAATACTTATTATGAGTATTAGATGGTAAGAGCCCTTTAAAATCTATGCTGTTGTTAATTCTCCCGGGGCAGAAGGCTTGAAAAACTTTGGCTGTTCATTTGCATGCAAGAAATTTACATACAAAACACAAAAGAAGAGTTCATTTTATAACAGAAGTGACAAAGGTTCTGGGATAGATATCATTTTTAGGTGAGAGGGGCATTTGGTAGAAAATATTTGAAAATTACTCAGATGTTATCAATATCAGATTTTGTCGTCAGATAT